TGGAGAGAGGAGCTCGGGTTCTGAGCACCCACTGTGCGCCAGCCCGGGATGTCACTTATGTGCTTAAAAGGAGGTGACAGCGCTCTCCTGACCTGGCCTTAGATAACCCAGCCCGGGGTCAGGAAGGGGTGAGAGTGCATGTGAGGCCAGCACCAGTGAAAGTGGGTCTTGAACACTTTAACACTCAGGTGTAGGATTCACTGTGCAAATACCTCCTATTTATGGCAAATGTGCCTGGTTTTCTTTTTAAGGGAGTAATAGGAATTAGTTTCAATACATTTCCAATAAATATATTTGAATGTTAAATCATGATCCCTTTAAAGGAAAAAACACCAGTAAACACCGCAGAGGAGATGCAGGGTGCTGAAGCCTGGCCTGCGACACAGGACGACGGAGGTCTGGGAAGTGTATCTCCTGTGATCCCCATGATAGCTCTGGAGTGGGGACTGTCATCCCCATTTCATAACTGGGAAAGCTGAGTCCTGAGAAATAAACTTTCCCTTTGCCCCACCCATCGCTGGCAAGGACCAAGCCAGTTCTGGAACCCTGGTGTGGCCTGACACCTTACTCTGCCCCACCCAACCCCAGGCTGGGGTTCAGCTCTTGTGGGCTGCGGGAAGCTGTCCCCACCTCTCAGGGATCCCTGGCACTTAGAGCTCTCTCAGTGATGGGCTCTAATGCAGGCCCTGCTCCACCGTTTCCGAACCTGTGACCTTGGACAAATGTCTAACTCTCTGGGCCTGGTTACGCATCTGTGAGATGGGGACCATGCTTGGACCTCCAAGGACTGTTAAAAGGGTTTAATGAGATAATGTCTGTTATTTTTCCCCTCTTAAAAGTGAGACAGTAGAATCCCCGAGCCATGAAGCTCCTTGCTCCAGATCTCACAGGAGAGATGGCAGCAGGACATGAATTTACATCAACCAGGTTCCCAAACTGCTGGGTTTAGTGATCTCATGTTGGAAGAAGCCCAGAGGATCTACCGTGGATAAAACAACATACCTGAATGGCCTGTCCATGGGGAGCCTGTGGACTCTGCCAAGATCCCCAGGAGCAGTGGGGAGCTGGGTGAGAGGGAGGGCGCTTTCCTGTGGGAAAATGTCAGGCGTTTCCACTTATAGCCTGATAACTAGGCCCAGGGAGGGCCAGAGTGCAGATGATGTCATTCATCCTCTGTGGCCTTTGGGGTTAGGAAGCCTCTGGGGAAAGGGGGTCGGGGAGGAAGGGCCGGAGGGCAGAGAGTCTGGAAAGAAAGACAGATAAAAATGGGATTCAGAGTTCTGGGTCCCTGCACAGTGGCTGAGGGTGCATGGAGGTAGGAAGGAACAGGGGCTCAGAGGCAGACACTGGGGGTGACTGAAGGAAGGAGCAGTGCCTGAGCGCATTGGCGGCTGTACTGCAAAGCTGAGGCGTGGAGATAGAGTCCTTTAAAAAACTGTAATTAGGATTAAATTAGAAAATACATGTAAAATGAAAAGCACACATTAGGTACTCAGAAATGGTAGCTGGTGGTCTTCTCACCGTGAACCTTTGGGGTGTTCCCCAGGAAAGGCCGAGATGATCGTAAGAGAAGCTCCACTTCCCACCTGAGCACCCACTGTGTAGTGCCTACTGGGTGCTGTCTTTTGGGCTACAGAGGAAATATGCCCCACAGGCCTTTGCTTTCAGGATTTAATAACCCACCCAAGGAACCTGGGCTACATCCACGGATAATATATAATGTAGCGTTCACCGTTCATGCATTAAATAGTGAAAGGGAAATGCTCATTCGCTGCTGGTGGGATGCGCAATGGTACAGCCACTCTGGAAGGCAGTTTGGGGTTTCTTACAAAACTAAACGTACAGCCCAGCAGTCATGCTCCTTGGAGTTTACCCAAATGAATTGAAAACTATGTCCACACAAAAACCTGAACATGGATGTTTACAGCAGATTTATTCATGATTAGCAAAACTCAGAAGCAACCGAGATGTCCTTCAGTAGGTGAATGGATAAATACACCGTGGTCCATCCAGACAATGGAATATTATTCAGCACTAAAAAGAAATGAGCTATCAGGCCATAAGAAGACATGGAGGAAACTTCAATGCATGTTACTAAGTGAAAGGACTCAGCCTGAGCAGTGTACATACTGTAAGTTTCCAACTATAGGACATTCTGGAAAAGGCAAGGTACGGAGACAGTGAAAAGATCAGTGGTTGCCAGGGCTGGGTATGGGGGTTGGGAGATGTGCGTGGGCAGAGCACAGAGGATTTCTAGGGTAGTGAAAATACTGTGTATGATACTATAGTGGTGGATATGTGTCATATATTTGTCCAAACCCATAGGATATACACCACCAACCGTGAACCCTGAGGTAACCTATGGACTTTGGGTGATCGTGATGTGCCAACGCAGGTTCATCCTTGATAAAAAAAAATGTACTATTCTGGCGATGTCGATAACAGGGGAGGCTGTGCATGTGTGGGGGCAGGGGGTACACGGGCAATCCCTGTACCTTCCTCTCAATTTTGTTGTAAACCTAAAACTTCTCTTAAAAAATTAAGTATTAAAAAAAAGATTCAAAGGAAGGGAAAGAAGGGTCCCTGGAAGACAAAAGGAAGGGCCTTAATGGGATGGGAGTGAACATTCACTGAGCTGTGTCAGGCATGCTTACGCACATTTCTCCTGTAATCCTCATATCAACCCCGAGGAATGGTGACTGCTTCCATTTCACAGACGAGAAAGCTGAGGCTCTGAGAGCTGAACTGATCTCTCTAAGAACACACAGCTGGGAATCAGCAGTCAGGCTCTGACCCCGTGGCTCTGATCACAGAGCTCCTCATCTCCCCTACACCACGACGCCGGGTCAGGGCCTAGAAGGATCTGTTTGGTTAACCAAGCGAAGCAGGGGGTAGGTGGTGGGATGAGGGTGGGTCAGGACAGTAGTAGCAGTAGCAGGAGAGTGACCCCCTAGGCCTATTTCAAAGACCCTTTAAACTTGACAACCAGCCCTTGCTGGTCATGTGACTAGTTCTCACCAACGCGATGTGACACTTGGTGCTTTCAGGGTTAGGTGCTAAGTAGCGGCAATGCTGATTTCTTTTCTTCTCCAGTACATGTTTGGATGACTCCAGGACGACCGTGAGACCCCAACGTGGCACAGGAGCCACAGAAGGAAGGGGCCTGTGTCTTAGAACAACCATTGGAGAAAAGCCACCCAGGAGCGCCAGGGACCAGGAGCGCTAGGGACTGGGGGTGCCAGGGACCGGGGGTGCCAGGGACCGGGAGCGTGAGCTTGGGACTTTGTATGAGTGAGAAACAAACTTGCATAAAGTTTCAAATAGACAAAAGAAGTGGGGAGCATAGTATAATAACCCACTTTATTCATCCATCATTCAGCTTCAGAATTATCAACACTTCCCCCGTCGTCTTTCATTCACCACCCTCACCTTATTTTTAAAATTGTTAGCTGGAGTTTTTAAAGCAATTCCCAGACATACAGAAAGACAAAACAAACAAAAAACACACCAAATTTCAAACACCCTTTATGGTGCTAAGCCACCAAGATGAGCGGCCGTGTGTCCCAGCAGTTGGCTCCGACTAACCCACTCAGTGGACACTCGGTGCCTGGCTGTTGAGTTGAACATAACCGACCTGTTTTTCTAGACTCCGCAGCGCAGATGACTGTCTGGGCCTAGAGCAGCAAGAAAGCCAAGCCTTCCATCTCTGGGAGAAGCAGTTCCCTTTGTTCCCCGGCCCAGCTGCACCCGGCCGCACCCACCCACCCTCTGGCCTCTGCCTCCTACCTCCTACCTCTTCCTCCTTCCAGGCCTGGGCTGCCCAGAGGACACGCAGACCCTAGGTGGGATCAGGATTAGAGGGTTTTTGGGGCCGTTTCCCGGCTTGGGCTAGGCTGGGTGCGGCGGGGTGAGGCTGGGACAGAGGGCAGGCAGAGGGATGGATGCTGGAAACCCGGAGCCTAGCAGCAGGGGCTGGGGCCAGGGGAGCAAACCCTTTGGTGCCTTTCACCTCGGCCAGTGTTCACGACCCTGAAGCCTCCGCTGGATGAAGGTGTGTGGCCAGACCTGGAGGGGTGGGGATGAGCCCACTCAGGAAATCACTGTGACTGAGCACCGGGGGGGCAGCCCGGTGCTGGCGCTGGGTTGCGCTGGTGGCCCTGGTGGGCTGGATCCTGGCTTAGTCACTGCTGGCACTGTGACCGTGGGCATATTCCCTTACCCTCTGAGCCTCAGACGCCCCATACTGAAAATGAGGGTGGAAATATCAGCTTCACCAGGTCCTGGGGAGATTGGCCATGATTGGAGCCTGGGACCCAGTCTCGATGACGCACAGCGATTACTATTGATTTCTGTTAACAACAGCGATCAGTACTGGGAGCGGGAGCGGGCGGCCGTCCAGGGAGCGGATCGGGCGGAGGATGCTGAGCCCTACCCTCTCGGGAGCTGTTTCCAGATGGAGAAATGGAGAACGCAGGAGCCAAATGGCTTTCTCTGGGAGTGGCCAGATCTAATTTTGCGTGTCAGAGCAAGGGTGGGTGGAATCCTGCAATTCAGGGGCTCTTTCCTGGAAGGGGCTGGGTTGGCCACAAAATCCTTCCTGCCTTGGAGTCAGCCTCTCAGCTGTCAAGAAAAAACAGCTGTGTGGCTTCCCTTCAGAGGGGCGAGCCCTCAGTCCTGTAGGGAGAAGGGCAAGACAGGACAGAAAACAGCAACTCCCAGGCAGGTTTTCTTGGGAGGGGTAGACTGGGTCTAGGAGACTGAGTTCCTGGCTGTGTGACCTTGGGCAAATCACTTTACCTCTCTGAGCCTCAGCTGTGTCATGCTTTAAGTGGGGATAGTGAGGTTCATCTCACGAGGCTATTGTGAGAAGCAGAAAAGATAAAGGTCTGAACCACAGTGCACAGTGCCTGGTGCACAGGAGGCAGGCGATAAGGGGTCACTGCAAATCGCTCACTGAAACGCCCCCCTTCCCTCCAGCAACTCCTGACTATTAGAGGTACCTGTTGCCTCTTCTCTTCCCTGCGTTGACTCCGCATGGGCTCGGCCACTGCCACAACATTAAACCCATTCCAGGGCATCGCCTCTAGGGTGCCCTCTAGGGTGCCGGTGCCATTGTGGGTCACAGAGTCCTGATATTCCCCCCAGGCTGCAGCCCCACCCTAGCCTTTCGCATCCTGGGAAAGAACCTCCATGCCGCTGAAAGAGCTAGATCACTCCCTGCCCCTCAGCCCCCAAGTCCAGCCCAGCAGCGAGTCCCGCCTCTACCTTCC